ATACTGTTTTAGTAAATATCAGGCTGTAATTGATTACATTTTTACATAGATTGTGCTATCTTTTAGTATCTACTGAACAGACACATTGGATATGGAACATTATTTAATTCTGTAAGCCATGCCTGAATTTTATACTTTGAACGTAAAGTGGATAAAAAACGCTACTCTGTATAGATTAAAACAGAAATTAGTCTAACAACAGTGTGAGGACAGTATTGAAACATGGTAGAATCCACTTGCTGTCTCAAGCATCAATATGTTTATATAGAATCCACTGACAGAAGATTGTAGTTAAGTTTTCAGATGTCACATAATGGCCAGAGAAGACATCACATGAAGGTTCACCGCAGTTTCCTGTTTACTAAGAGCATCTATTAGAAACTATGTGCTGCCTTAAAAATTCTCCCCTGGTATCTGTCACTGTGGTGTATTCATGTGTGTGCAACCACATGTACATGTGTGTGTGTGATCAGTACATACACACATGTGTGTTGCCATTCACTCTTATTGATTATACTATTAACCATGAGCTGCTTAAGGATAAACATCATTAATGACAGCTCTCGTGCTGGAATTCCAGCAGAGACCTTTGCTGTTTATAGATACTCAATAAATTATTGATGATATGAACAAGGAAAATAGCTTAAACAGTAACAAAAAATAAACATCAGAATCCATTTAACAAATATTTACATTAATCTTGGCAGCTGTGGTTGTGGCTAAAAAAAAAAGGAGTGGGGAGAAGGCAGAATCCAAACTCATCAGTAGTCAACACCATTATCGTATAGATAATGGATTGGAGGTTTAGGATTATGGTAACTGTTTCTAAACTACAGCTGTAATTGGTAATTCCGAGGCTCTACCCATTATCTGTTATTCTTTAAGACCTCCCACTCTTGGATCTTGTTTCATACTAGGGAACGACTAAGGACAAAAGCAACCAACTGTTTGAAGAGTATGTATATTTAGTTTGAAAGTGGCACGCGCCTTTTTAAAATGTACTTCCAGTGATTTATTATCGGCTTGTGCTTTAAAGTTTATGCTTTCCAAGCATATATCATCTGATTAGGAAAAGAGGCCTATGCACACATTCTAAGTAATATTGAATTTAGCATAGTTATTGAAAAATCACAAATTAACATGCAAATGAGCACATTTACAAAATTTAAAATATCAGACATATTTCCGTCGACATACACACACAGGGCAATACAAAAGGAAGTTGGAAATGAGAGAAGCCCCTTGAGTAGGCTGCAAAAGCTGACATAGGTGTAGTTAGCCTCAGTACACACACATAATTGGCAGTGTTTCCCAAGTTGATAGATGGATACAACCTAAGTATAAAGAATCCTACTTTTCACATTAATAAAAACTTCTGTGGATCCCTAACCTTTCCTCACTGACATCATCAACTACAGAATGAAGAAAGCTCCCTGAAAAAAAACTTGTCAAACGCTTTGCAAGGAAAGTCTCTTGTTTTCACCTTGTTTGTTCCTGTAGGTCACAGTAACTCAGTCCAGCTTCCCTATTGCCCACTTAGCCACAATGAAATGTGACAGCATTAGTTGTGATTTTGTTTTCCTTGCATTTGGTTAACTCTGAAGCACCACGGTAGCCGCTGTGATTATTAAAGCTCTCAGCATATGGCAGAAGCAGCTCTACACAGTGCTCTGACTTTAAGCCTCTTCACCTGCTCCATCATCCCTTTCCTTATTTATTCATGCACACACCTCTTCCTACCTTTGGATGCTCACAGCCGTGTTGATTTTTCTAAGAATATGCTTTATTAATACACAGTTTAACTGTCCTGCATCTGACCAGAACAATTCTTCAAAGCTCTTGCTGTTAAATACAACCCATCCATGGGTGAATATTATCTACGTGCTTGTAAGAATGGTTCCATGATCACTTAGGCTGCCCATTGTGGCCTTCTGGTCCCTTTTCCCCTTGGATAACTGGGTGGATGGAACTTGGAGTGAGTGGCGGCAACATTGTGGGTAGAGATGCTGCTGCCGAGGCTTGGGGGCGGAGCACTTCAACCGTTTGGCATAGGCATTATCTCCAAAACTGTCTTCTCTGTCACTGCTGGATTCTGTGCTCCTCATCATGTGAGGCAATGTCACCGGTGCAATGGGAAACCTGTAACAGCAGGTTACAATGGTCCGCCACCTGAGTCCTTTTCCAGTCATACTGATCTCTCTTCCTGCCCCCAGTTCACTTTGCTGCCCCCCTCCTAGAGATTTTGCCCATCCACCCCCTGCAGAGCTACTTGTGGTGTTCCTAGTCTCCACCCAGTCCCAACCATTAGGTAGGAGGCACTTGCCTGACACTGAACCAAAGTCACCACTTTCAAGTTCTTCTCTTTTTTCGGCTCAGCTTCCATTGCATATTCTCCGCGGGCTTTCCCCTGAGTAGTTTACCTTCTCACAAGATACTTGTTTCCTCCTGTCCCCCAGGTTTCTGTTATTACGTGTGTTCTCTTTTCATTCTCAATGATTTCACTGCACATCACAGCAATGCCCATGATTTTATTCACAACTTTGATACTGACAGCCCTTACAAAGCTCTCCTACAGCCCTAGATGCACATATTTATCTGTTTATTATTTAATCATTATCATACCTCTATTTACTGACCTATATGGTTTGCTATCATTGATTATATAATTTAAGATATGTTTATATATGCAAGTGAAATCATATAAAACTATAAAAATATTAAGAACTGGAGCACAGCTCAGCATTACATCAGATGCAAGAACCCAGATTCTGTCCCCAGTGCCACAAAAATTAAAGAATAATTTATAAATATATTAAAATTCCTCTTTTTATGCACAACCTATGTATTCTCTATACCACTTGCTGGTATTATAGGCTTAGCGCAAGTCCTAAAACAAAAGAAAAGTTGTAGCTTATGTAGACCTACAAGTTTTTTTCATAAAGCAGCTATCTATAGATAAGGAATGACTGCCATCAAATGAGAAGTTTCATGTCAGCAGCATAAACAAATGCATGCTCAGAAAAGAATTGCTCAAAATCATAATTCTGGCATGTTGAGATCATATATTTATAAAAATGTATAGTATTCTGGAAAACACATAGCCTTGAAAATCTATGCAAATAATAGCATCTCTATAACAAACTATATACATAATCATATTCATGTATACTATGTTATATAATTTTCATAACAATCCAAAGAAATAATACATCAGTTATTATCTTTAGTTAACTGATTATTAAAGAAAAAATATACCTTGGTAAAACTTAACCACTTTTCCAAACCCATATAGTTCTTAAATGTGGAAGCTAAAAAAACTATCCTTTTTGGGTATATATAATCTTATATCCATCTTTCATGAACATGTTATGTTTTGCTAGAAAGTAGTTGAATTGTTGAATGTTATCTAAGTACCCTTCAAATAAAGAAAATGTGCACCGTATAATTTAGATGGTCCTTTTTCATCAATGTAAGTTTATTTTGATACAGTAAAAACACAGAATTTCATATTGATTGTGCACTACATATTGTTTAAATATGTATACATTGTGTAATCAGGTTAAAAGCCTATCTTCTCAAATATTTATAAGTTATTTCTGCAAAAATACTGAATATACATCTGGCTTTTTGAGGTGTACAATACACAATCCCCGTAAGTGGTCCCCTCACTGTGAAATGGTAGCCCAGAGCTACTTATTACCTCCTAACTGCAGCATGGCCCATCTTTCCTCCCCAGTTTCTGGAAGCCAACATTTCTACTCTTAATTTTAATGACATCAGTTACTTTATTTTGCACATACATATGAGACCACATTGTACCTGTGTTTCTGGGCCTGGCTTATTTCACTTTACACGGTCTTAAAGTCCACCCACGATGTCATAAATAATTGTATTTCTTTCTTTAAAATTCAGCAGAAAAGGTCTTCCTGGTGTGTGACCAAAACTGTCAAATGTATTTTAACCCCTCACCATTGTCAGCAATTGTTAAGTGATGGCATGAGATTATGGACAGGGAGCAGGGAGTAGTTGCACAGCTCTGAGGCATTTCTCCCTTGGGAGCGCTTCTCAGATTGCTAGGGCAATACAGAGTAACACAGGGTTCAAGTGACATTTTTTTTTACTATAAATAGATCTTACAAACAAGCAGTTAATGGGTAAGGTTACCATTCTTTCTAGTAATAAGTTGGCTTGTGATCTTTAGAGATTGAAATCCACTTAGTCTGTAGGTTGCCCCTCCTGCCCTTTTTGAGACCTGTAATTCTGTGCAAACTAGAAAACACCTTAGTCACATCTCATCTTTAGACTCGAGTTCAACGGCGTGTAAAATGCCCCCACTTTATTTTCAGATCCTTTTTATAAGGTCTGTCAAGATTGCAATAACACAGCTTTGTTTGTTAAAATAACAGATCACTTGTTTTTATTTTAAATGTTGTAAATTCTTGAGATCTGAGATGTGTAAAACATTCAAGAAGAAATTTCATTTGGAATGAAAATTAGTTTTATAACTGTAATTTATGTTTATGGATTTGGCTTACATAAAATCGGACTTAACTAAGCATTTCTAGGCTGTGTCCAGTAGCTTTGCTCGTAAGTCAGGAAGATATTTACAACAGAAAATCTGTGTTGCATTTTAAATCCCTAGGCTTTTAAGACCTTGATACTGAGTAATCTGGGACTCTGAAATAATTCTTTTTCCTTGAACACACAGGTCTGTCACTGCTCTGTTCTATGTCATTAGTTGGTCATCATACTTATAATATAATCCATAGCTAGTGATATGATGTAAGCATCTGAAATATTTATTATTCTGATAGAAGGTACTATTTAGGAGCAAACCACTTTTTATTTTGTTATCATTTAAAAGCACTAATGCTCTGCCTATGTTACGCAAAACAAGTCATAACAAGCTAAGCTCATGCACTCTTTTGGACTCCAACATTTAGCATAGAAGTCCTCGGTAGCATCTATATAATATTTTTCTTCTTTTTGTCCCTTTGTAGTTGTTTGAAATTACAGTGCCTCTCTCTCAAGGCCCCAAACCAGTCACAATCAGTTTTGCCAATCATACTTCCTGCCGATGCATGTCTAAACTGGACGTTTACAGACAAGTTCATTCAATTATTAGACGTTCTCTGCCAGCAACATTATCACAGTGAGTATGAATTTAGTCTGTTCTTTTCTACATCTTCTCCTAACTTAAAATTATCTTCAAACAAACACAAGTTTATTAAAGGAAATTTTATAAAGATGTTAATATTTCTCATCAAATACAAAACATAAAATATTATACAATAATAGAATTATAAGTACTACCCATTGAATAAGCAGGGTAGTTCACCATATAAAAGGACATTCTATAGAATGGTGCACATCCCACCACTGTTCATACGACTAATGAAGTAGCCACATTGATTTAACATCTGTGAAGTAGAGTACTCACTTAGAAATTATACTAAAGTTTAAAAATGTAAGCCTTAGTGATTTAAGTTTAAAACAAATATCAACCATACATATTATGATGATACAGTAAAATATAGTTGAAATATAGCTTCCTATTTCTTGTTTCAGCAAGGATTGACTATTGAAATCATCCTTAATTACTTGAATTTTCTCTTCATATTACTTGAAATAACATTCAGACTATCATTTAACATTCAAGTTGTTCTTCTGTCGTTTTTTTTTTCCCCGTATAGCAAAGACTAGCATTTTTCAAAGGGAAGGGCAGAGCATCAGTTTGGACACTGTGAATAAGTTATATTGGAATAATTTTTATTGTCATTTGGGGCCTAGGAACTTTGAACCCCCAGACAGAGATGGAGCTTGCTGTTCTTTTTTATTCCTATGTAGTAGGATCATACATAATTCCAGCACTTATTATAACAGCATAAGTAGATGGACAATATGTAGTACAGAATATTAAAAAAAAAAAAAAAAAAAAAAAAAACGCACTCACCATTGGGGCCTCGACAGAAAATGTACTGCACTAAGAGTGGTCTTCACATGGGATTTCTTCATGATGCTCAACTTAAGTTCTTCGGGACATTTTAGGGCAACTCAGTTATAGCCTGATATTAGCATGAATCCGTCCTCCTTGGGTTGAAGAAGAAAAAAACCTCACAGATATCTCTGAAGAAAACCATGGTAATATAAGAAGGAAAACCAACCATTTTAACTGAAGAGCAGGTTCTCCCTGTCATCTCATTTATGCAGCCCTCGGAGAGCTGGTCAGTTTCTAGACCCTATTTCCTTGGGCAAAGCATCCATTCTGAGAACTTTAGGTATCATCTTTGTGTTCATGGTTCCCCAAAATTTCATTTGAAGATCTGATCATATTCTTGCTTCCCATACAATTACATTTGCTACGTGTTAAACCTAAAAACTAGTTCAGTCCACTCTATTTCTCTGTTTGTCAAAGCACAAAGTTCTCATATTCTTTTGAGTCCTTGAAATTGCAGTTATCCTCAATTATTGCTTCTTTTATCCCACACAAGTATTATTCATGATTTGAGAGGAGAGGGAGATACCTCTTCCAACTTACACTCAATTCTCCTCACTTATATTCATCCACTTTATTCTGTGTGGATGTCGGATTTAGCATATCAGCGTCAAGTCCGTCTCTTGGTACCAGGTCTTACCCCCATTCCTGTCCACTGTTGTAAGCAAGCTTCAAAGGACATCATTTGATCTGTCCAAGCAAGAATGGTGCCGTCTATCGCTTAAAGAATTGAGCACAATTTTCTCACCACCATTTTTCATTGTCATCTTGTCATTATTCTCCACGTCCGTGTTTTACAAAATCTGATTCCCTGGTCACAAGGTCATTTCCTGCTCTGTGTCTTGTTTCTATTATGATTTTTAGCGTGAAGTAAGTTCTCTTTCTTTTCTTCCTTTCTAAGGCCACATCCTTTTCTTAGGACTCAGATGAAGGTTTTCCACTGCATTTGTCTCATCCAAATTCCACAGTCAGCACTGCTTCTGTGTTAAGATGGCAGCATTGCTTTTTGCTCTGGACATTATGCTTTAGAAATGTAACCATGTTATTACACGTACATCAAGTTGGTTTACTTCGCAGGTACTATATCCTATTAAACTGATAAGTGATTATGTTTCCAAGACAAATACGACAGGCAAATTAATGTACTACAAAATAGAAATAGAAGGGTGTAAACATAGAAGGGTAGAGGAATACACATACACACACACACACACACACACACACACACACACAATGAGGATGTTATATTATGTAAAGACACAAGTATCTTGTTTTTTTGTTTTTTTTTTTTTTTTCCAGATATGGTTTCTCTCTGTAGCTTTGTCCTGGAACTTACACTGTAGACCAGGCTAGCCTTGAACTCACAGAGATCTGCCTACCTCTGCTTCCTAAGTGCTGGGATTAAAGGTGTGAGCCACCACTGCCTGGCATGTATCTTAAAACTACTAGTGATGAATTTATTGGTTAATTGGTTGAATACTGCAATGTCCAATGAAGATGTAAGGAAATTGAACAGTCTAGTGGCAGTGATTAGGATGATTTAATTAGATTTTAGTCCATTAAATCAGTATGGTATTAAATAATGAAAAGACTAAGGCTGTGAATTTAAAGTAGTGAACATCAGCCTAGGAATCCTCATGTTTTTGTAAAAATATGAGGCTAGAATAGGAAGTTTAATAGATAGATAAGTGGCATGAGAAGGTTCAATGTGGTAAAAGCATCTTAAACTGTACTTAACACATCATAAAATGGCTGCAAATTATTATTTGAAACCAATTATGATACGATGTCAGTCTTTGAAGTAGTGTCAACTTGAAAAGAAAGATAAAGGGGGTTGTAAAATAGAAAATTCTAGCTCAGATTATAATTCATCTTTGACTTGTTTACTGAATTGTTATAAAATGTTGGCACTAAAATACCAAATAAAATGTGCTTGATAGTAAGAAGTTACATTTATTGGGATTTAAGGGGAGAGTTTCATTATTGTAAGGACTCATTTTTGCTGAGGAGGACAGAAGATACATAGTCCAGGCACCTTCTTATTTAAGACTTGAGAACTCAATGTCTTTAGTCCATTAATCTGTAATAGATCCTCAGTCCCATAGCTTAAAGGTTCAAAAGTCATGACATTTTCTTTTTCCAGCTTTAATTGCCCAGTTTTCCCTTTAAATTTGAAGATCATACATTAGTCTTGTTCTTTAAATATAAATAAACAGGTGAACATAAAAATAATTTACTAACATTTGTAAAAGAGTAGTGATAGGGTACTCCCATTAAATTAAGACATAAATTGAGACATAGTCTTAAACTATCTCATTAGAGAGAATTTTTCCTCAGCATTCACAAGAAGGCATTTTATGATGTTCTAGAAATACCCTCTTTACAAGTTTAAAATCTGAATGGACATACATCATTATTTTTTGAAATCTTAATGTATATGCCTGCTCATCATTTTCTACAATATTCTCTGTATACGTTTATAGAGAGATACAGAATATATACATATGTTTACATATAAATATACATGTATAGATTATATATGAATATATGCATATGTTTATTGATGCAGATATAGAATATATGTTTATATATTCTAACATTCTCATTTAGGAGTTCTTGGCATGAATGAATGTACCAGTAAAACTCAGCCAAGAGAAGCATTGTTTAAACCCTGCAGCATTATTTTTTTCTAACAAGATATTATGTAGGAGCCGCATGGTCTGCTTTATTGAAGATTGTCTTTGACATCACAACATTTCTGTGGTTGGCTGGTTCACTAGGAGAAGAAACAATAAAGTGTGAATAACAGAGTACTCTACCAGTTCTTCTTCTTCATTGACACCACGCCTGTGATTTTTCCCAGCCGACAACAAAATTAGAGTGATAAATTCAAAATACTAAGCTATGCTTTTAAACCATTAAACATCAGCCTAAGGATTCTTCTTTCTTTCTTTTTTTTTTTTTTTTGTTTTTGAAGTGTTGAGGTAGAGTAGAAAGTTTTGTGTACTGAAAAATGGGGAGACAAATTTCAGTATATCCAAAACATTTTATGTGTTTTAATGCTCATAAAATGGAAAAAAAATTATTATTTTAACCTGGTTGATATACTATATCAGTTCTTGTGAAGGGAAAGATACAAAGAAGATGGGATTTATTTCTTTTCATCGATGAGCTAGTATTATAATTAATAAAATTCCACAGGCTACATGAGAGTTCTCCTTGTAATACATTCTATAATTGGGCCAATGACTAATGTCATGTATCCACCATGATATTATTACACAGAAGAATTCCATTGCCCTTGAAATCCCATGTTACACCTATTCATTTCTCCTTCTCTTTTACTCCTGACATCAGAGAGTTATTTGAGGTTATGTAATTGTCATTTGGTTTGGGTTCTAGTTTCCTGCTCGTGAAGTATGGTTGTGACAGGGTACTAAGTCAAGAGACATTGACGGATATTTTTTACTGCATTTCTGATTATGTAACTTTATGCATTCTCTGGCTTAATTTAACTCATTTAAATTCAATAAGGAAATAAAATCTGACAAATTGATGTAGTAATTTTTATTAAAACCTCTGTAAAAACAAATAAAGTGGAGGTTTTGATACCTGCTCTGCATACCCTGTTCACCTGGATCACTCCTCTCCTAATCATTCAGTTTAAAACACCAGTACTCTGTGCTCAGCTAATCAGTCAGTGACCATACAGCATGACTGCTTCATATCTAGTGGTGGGCAGCCCTTTGTGACACAGTAATGCTTTAGAACAGTTGTTTGGAACTATAGAAAAAGGAAAAGAATTTGATAGTTTCAATTCACTTTTTAAACTATACTTTCTTATTATTTCAAATAATGCTTGTCAATTTTATGAAATGCATCTATTAGACTTATGCACCATCTTTTTCATTGACAACTGGACAAACCCTGCCTCCGTCCACTCTTCTTCCAGTCAGCAGACTAACAGAACACAGGCAAGCAACATCACAGACAAGGCAACAACTCATGGGAATCAACAAAATTCTACTCAAGACAAATATGCACATTGTTTAGATGTAGGAATATTGACTATAGGCCTTTATGTTTTAAACTTCCGAATCCTAAGATGCATTTCTTGCTATATTGGATGAAAGAAGTTACATGACAACATTGAATAC